GGCAGCAAGGAGGAGGAGTGAAAGTAAAATTCAATTAGCCAGATAGTTTGAAAATTAATGTAATACAAACAGCTAGCTGTTTATTTTTATTTATTTAATTAATTCATTTTTAGTATTCAACAATCACTTCCATAAGCTTTTGAGTTTTAAATTATCTCCTCCTCCCTCCCCACCTGCCCCCCAAGATGGCATGGAATCTGATATAGGCTCTACATATACATTCCTATTAAACATATTTTCACATTAGTCATGTTGTAAAGAAGAATTAGAACCAATAGGAGGAACCATAAGAAAGAAGAAACAAAACAAAACAGAAGAAAAAAAAAGAGCAAATAATATGCTTTGATCTGCATTCTAACTCCATAGTTCTTTCTCTGGATGTGGATAGCATTTGCCATCATGAGACTTTTGGAGATGTCTTAGATCCTTGCATTGCTGAGAAGAGCTAAGTCTATCAAAGTTAGTCATCTCACAACGTGACCGTTATTGTGTGCAATGTTCTCCTGGTTCCGCTCACTTCATTCAGCGTCAGTCCATACAAGTCTTTCCAGGTTTTTCTGAAGTCCACTTGCTCATAATTTCTTATGGCACAATAGTATTTCATTACATTCATATACCACAACTTGTTCAGCCAGTCCCCAATTGATACCCTCAATTTCCAATTCTTTGCCACCACAGAAAGAGCTACTATAAATACTTTTGTGCATGTGGGTCCTTTTCCCAAAGAGAATGATCTCTTTGGGATACAGCCCTAGAAGTGCTATTACTGGGTCAAAGGGAATGCATATTTATATAACCCTTTGAGTATAGTTCCAAAATGGTTGGATCAGTTCACAACTCCACCCACCAATTTTCCCCCATCTTCTCCAACATTTATCATTTTCCTGTTTTGTCATGTTAGCCAGTCTGATAGATGTAATGTGGTACCTCAGAGTTGTTTTGATTTGCATTTCTCTAATCAATAGTGATTTAGAGCATTTTTTCATATGACTATAGATGGCTTTAATTTCTTCATCTGAAAACAGCCTGTTCATATCCTTTGACCATTTATCAATTGGGGAATGACTTGTACTCTTATACATTTGACTTAGTTCTCTATATATTTTAGAAATGAGGCCCTTATCAGAAACACTGGTCGTAAAAATTCTTTCCGAGTTTTCTGCTTCCCTCCTAATCTTGGTTGCATTGGCTTTGTTTGTGCAAAAACTTTTCAATTTAATGTAATCAAAATTATCCATTTGCTTTTCATAATGTTCTCTGTCTCTTGTTTGGTCATAAATTCTTCTGTTCTCCATAAATCTGACAGGTAAACTATTCCTTGCTCTCCCAGTTTGCTTATAGTATCAGCCTTTATATCTAAATCATGTACCCATTTTGACTTTATTTTGGTATATAGTGTAAGATTTTGGTCTATGCCTGGTTTCTGCCATACTTTTTTCCAGTTTTCCCAGCAGTTTTTGTCAAATAGTGAGTTCTTATCCCAGAAGCTGGGATCTTTGGGTTTATTAAACAGTAAATTACTGTAGTCATTGACTACTGTGTCTTGTGTATCTAACCTATTCCATTAATCCACCACTCTATTTCTTAGCCAGTACCAAGTAGTTTTGATGATTGCTGCTTTATAATACAATTTAAGATCGGTAACAGCTAAGCCACCTTCCCTACCATTTCTTTTCATTAATTCCCTTGATATTCTGGAACTTTTGTTCTTTCAAATGAATCTTGTTATTATTTTTTCTAGCTCTATAAAATAATTTTTGGTAGTTTGCTTGGTATGGCATTGAGTAAGTAAATTAACTTAGGTACAATTGTCATTTTTATTATATTTAGCTATTTATTTTTAAAACAACTGGTTAGCAACCTTCTAGTAGTGATGTTTAAAATAACTGCATTTGAATCCAATAATTGTTTTCCAATCCTGTGTTTCTAGAAAGTGCTGGCATTATAAGTTGGCACCATAGTTGGTAAGCAACATGACATCCCTTGAGGTACACTGTCTATATAGTGCAAGAATTCCCCCAAATCATTACCCGTATAACCTATCACAGCGCTTAACATTCCACCATTGAGAGCTTCTTTCCCAAGGGTTTTTCCCCAACCTTTTTTGTTGTTGTTTTCAGGAGTTTGCTATTAAAATTCAACTGGAGTTATACCTTCAGCTCTTATTAGCACACACTATAGGAGGGGAATAAGTAGAATAAAGGAGAGTAGAGGAAAAAGAAAGAAATACTTAAAAAGCAGATGGGAAGTTGCCAAAAACAAACTTAATTTAGACTCACAAAATCACAAGATGTTTGAACTAGATCTAGTCTTATATAACAGTCCTGCTTAGAGCTGGTCCTGTGTGTGAGACTTAGCCTTCACCTTACTCAATGTGGAATTGGTGAGGTATTACGTCATTATACATTACTGTCTTCACCTAACTGATGCAACCCCTGACCATTAGGGGACAATATCTGCATTCTGTTTAGAAGCAGGAGTTGTTCCATCATTCCTGAATCTCCAGAAGTTACTGGTACTTGAAACTTGAGTCTTGGCCCATAGTTTACTGAAGAGCAGAAACAAATATTTTAAATGTCTCCAAGAGCTTTCTTCAGCCTGTGCAGATGTCTTTAGCCCATGCACACATTATGACCAAACCATTTCCATCTAAACCATTCTACCAGGTGTCAAGATGATACAAGGAAAGTGTTTCGTAATGTGGTTTGACAATAACACAAAGAAAATCTATTAAAATCATTTTTCAGGGTGAACTCCTGAAATAAGTCCCACCTACTAGCAGCCTCAGTGCTACTGAGTCTCATTGCCCCACAGAACCAAAACATCCAGATGACAATCCATTTGATCATCTGAATGTTTTGACTCTGTGATGCCAAATATTCAGTTTGTTAGAAACATCTGGGTGTTTGGACTGATTTTTCCATTTTCATCCAGATGTTTGGTGCTATCTATATGCAGCCAAAGTATCTGGATTTATTTATACAAATTCCAGAAATAAGGAGCAAGAAAAACGGTGTGTGTGTGTGTGTGTGTGTGTGTTTGTGTGTGTGTGTGTGTGTGTGTGTGTGTGTATTGGGGGTAGGAAATGAGAATGCATAAGAGAAAAACACTAGCAAAAAGAAATTTCATTTTTCCATGTAAAACATTACATTGGAAATCTCATTATAGAACTTTTCACATCCCTTTAAAGATGCTAACTTAGGCCAAATGATATGAATCAATGAGAATATATATATCAGTTCAAAATAAGTATTCCTATGCTGACATTTTGCCCTCTCTTAATTTTTCTGATAGATTTTTGCTATGAGCAAAGTTAAAAAGTTATAAAATATCTTTGAATTTGTAGTTGCGTCTTATTTTTTTTTAAATATTTATCATCCTCTTTAAGCAAACCAAGACTTGACATGGTTGACTTTAGTTGAAGTGTTTATGTTTACCTTTTCATTTCAAGGTTTAAATGGACAAAATTGAAATATGATCAGTTTGTAAGCCTCTCTCTGGGCATTTCAGAAAAACTGTGATAGACCAAACATGCATAAAGGAAAAATTTATTTATTGACCATAAATATGTTTCCCAAGTGAAGAGCAAAAATACCTCACAAAGTACATGTTCTCACTGTTTCTTTTTTCCATTCTTGTCCTGATTGCTCTCTTCTTTTCCTACATACCCCCTTCTAACCTTACCTAGAGTGCTGTCTATGTTCAGAACTATAGAGGTTTTAGACAAACAGTGAGTGGAAGAAGCATCAGCCTAGGAACCATAAGACCCTGTTTCTGACTATGTAACAACCATGGGCAAGTCGCTGCTTCCTCATCCGTACAATGAGAGGGTTGGGGCCTAAGATACTATTGAAACTGGTTGTTTCAATCACACCTGACTCTTTGTGACCTCATTTGGAGTTTTCTTTGCAAAGATACTGTAGTGATTTGTCATTTCCTTCTCCAGCTCTTTTTACAGATAAGGAAACTGAGGTAAGTAGTGTTGAGTGACTTACACAGGGTCACAGAGCTAGTACACGTCTGAGGACAAATTTGAACTCACATCTATCTGACTCCATGCCTGATTCTTTTATCTAATGCACCACCCAGCTAAGGTTTCCTCACTCTAAATCTCTGCTCCTAAGTAATTCAGGATCACTGTAAGACAAAAGTTCAAGAAATGAAGAAATTGACCAAATACATGTGTGTCCAGAGGTGTAACTGTGGTAAGGTGACTGGGGTTTTGCTCCCAGAACGCCAGTATATAGGGAGTGTGTTTTTTTCCTACAATACCCCTACAACCTACTGCCCCCATACCTTGCAAGCAAATCCGTCAGTCCTGTGATAGAATTGCCCCCTTTCCTCATATGGGCCCAGACGACAACCCGCTGAGTCCTATTATCACTGCCTCCCTTTCCTGGAGCTCATCTTTTGGACCTTCCTCCCAGAAGTAGGCAGAGATTAAGGGCTCTCAGCCATGACAGAAGGGCACGGACCTAACTCTGAGGTATAGGGCTACCTCCCCTTGATGCTAAAGCCCCCTAGTCAAATTCTCAGTCAAACCATGTCATGGTGCTAGCCGTTGGGACCCACGCCATGTCTTTCATAGGGGATGCCCTGACAGTCCCCCTCAGCAGCAGTTTTCTGGGCTCTGCAGCTGAGGGGCTGTATCCATGGCGTCTGTCTCCCTACTCACACTGTGGACAGTGACCTGGGGCCTATTTGTCTGTGGGACCTTGTGATCCAAGGTCTGAGTCCTCCCTCCTCCACCCACAAATGAATTTTCCTCAGGCATCAGAAGTACTAGCTACAGAGGGCTCTCTCTGTGTTTACATTGCTTCTCTGTTGTTGTTTCTCTGAGACATGTATTACTATAGCAGCATAATAATGATGGTACATTTGTGAGGAAACACCATAAACGGCAAATGCATCTCCGGCTTCTAGCAGAATGAAAATAGAAGGCGTTGCTGTTTCTTCCACACTGTGAGTAGAAAATAGACTGTGTTGTTTTCTCTTTCCAGAAAATTCTCACCATGATTCCCACTGAAGAGGAAAAGCAAAAAATCCAGGAGGCCCAGATGGCCAACCCAGATCTCCCCCTAGGCAGTGCTGAGCAGTTCCTCCTCACACTTTCCTCCATCAGTGAACTGTCTGCCAGACTCCAACTCTGGGCTTTCAAAATGGACTACGAAGTCATTGAAAAGGTAAACAGTAAATGAGGGAGGGAAGAGGCTACACACAACCATTGTTCCCCAGAAATTAGCTCTTCTCATGAGCAAGTAGAAATTGTTATTCTTTAGATTTGGCTTGATAAGTATGTTGACAAAATTTGAAAAATGATGTTTGTTGTGTCAAATACCAGACAGGAGTCAACAATCCCCTGTGTTACATGTTCTAACGATAGATGCTGGGCCATTGTCTCTGGCACTCAACGTTGTTGTTATTGCTGATATTCTTTTTTCTTCCCTCTGTCTGGGGAAGAAAGTGGAGACAAATATTCCTAAAAAGAGACCATCATAATAGTATAGGTACGGGACTGGCAAACTATGGCCCATGGACCTATTTAAAATCATAAAAAATCATTCTTAGCTCTCATGCCATACAAAAATTGATGGCAGACTGGGTAGGGCAATAGTTTGCCAACCCCTGGTCCAGGTGGATAGAAATAAAGGCATGTAGAAAATGGCATACAATGGCAATGAGAATGTAGAGGATGGGGTTAAATTGAGAGACATTTTGGAAATAAATTCTACAAGTAAAGATGTGGTGACTGATTGGTAATGGGAAAAAACAGAGAAGGAAAAGTCAGAGATTATAGACATGGGGCAGATTGAGCGAATACTCCCAGAGACAGTAGAAATGGTGAAATCAGGAGGGCCTGGTTTTGGACACATTAAATATCAAGGTAGAGGGTAAAACTTCAAGGTAGAAATGTCTCATCAGTACTTGGAGCTATGGATCTCAAGAAGAAAAGACAGGTTAGGATGCGAACTGTAGATTTGGGAGTCATCTGAGTAGAGGTAGTAGTTAGAGGCATGGGAATGAATCAGAATGCCAAGTGAGAGAGTATAGAGATAAAAGAAAACAAAACCAGAGACAGATCCATGGAAAATGCCTACATTAAGGGATTATAGAGAGGGTAAAGATCCAGTGAGGAGATAGAGAAGATGTTACAGAGAGGTAGGAAGAGAATCAGGAAAATATAATGTGTCTGAAGCCAAGAGTAGAAAGGGGGTGGCCAACAATGCCCAGAGAGGTCAGAGGGTTCGAGGAGGATGAAGTCTGAAGAAGAAAGCCTGTGAACCAATCTGCCTCCAGACACCTAAGAGGAAACATAGACAATCTCGAAAAGAAATTCTGTGGTGGTGTCAACCTGCTTTGAGCACAGCTTCCACAACTGAGAGTGGAGCCCTGCCAAGCACATAGTACCTTCCGTGTCCTTTCAGCCCTCAGAGAGGCCAGCCCAGCCATCAAAACCATGAAGACTGGAAAAACTCCATATGGTAGTGGCAGAACAGTCAAATATCTTCAGGCAAGAAGGGAGGGGCTGCCAAGTGGCCAGCCTAGATAAAGTCTCTCTGAAGGAAAGGCTGGAGGAATGATCCTATGTTTCTAAATGTTTGTTATTATTCACCTTAAAGAAGGAAGGCTAAAATACTGATGGTGGCGACTCTTGCACCAAACAGTAGGTGATCTCTAGGGCCATTTCTGTCTTTAAAATCCTGTGTTCTATGCTCTAGGGCTGTCGTTCACTGCTGGCAAGAGGCTGGCCGCAATTCTTTCAGAAAGGCAACTGAATTGTCCACATCATGAATTGGTGACTTCTAGAATTTACTGCAATTCAATTTAACCAAGAATCAAATAACCAAGAAATCAATATCAATCATAGAACAATAGAAATAACTTCACAACAATAATATGGTTAGATAGCAGTTGTTCTGAAAAAAAAATCAGGATGTTCTAATGAACTGCAAGTTTAGCAGTGTGATGTGGCAACCAAAAAGGCTAGTAAAAATTTGGGCTCCACTAAGAGGGCCGTAGCTTCCAGGAAGAGGGTGGTGCTAGTCACTCTGCTGTCATCAGATATTATTTGGGGTGTTGTGTTCAGTTATTGGAGCCATGGTTTAATAAGGACATTGAAAAACTGGAGGGGGTATAGAAAAGGGCAGCTAAGATGGCGAAGGGTCTTGAGTCCATGTCGTATGAGGAACAATCGAAGAAACTGGCCATGTTTAACTTGGTAAAGAGAAAATTTAAGTGATGATAGCCATCGTCAAGTATTTGAAGGGTTGTAACGTGGAGAAAAGACTGCACCTCTTCTGTTTGGCCCCAGTGGGTGAAAAGTTGCAAAGAGAGCAAACAGTGTAGGGTTGATGTCAGGAGAATCTTCCTAATAATTAAAACTGTCCCAAAGTGGAATGGGCTGCCTTGAGATATAGAGCAGAGGGTAGAGGATCACTTGTTGGGTATGTTACAGGGAAGATTCCTTTCATGTATGTTTAGACTGGATAATCACTAAGATCCCTTCTAACTTTCAAATTTTGTGATTCTATGAAACATTTATTGAATTCTTACCATAGGTTTATTGTGTGCTAAGCAGGATGCCAAGAAGTATGAGGTATGCGCTCCTTCTATCTGGTTGCCCTCTTGTGGATACTCTCTATCTTAGTTTGATTGGGAAGAAATGGCGCATTTCAATAGGACAACCAACACATATGCACACACAATTAATAATGCATAGAAAGAACATAACGAGTTACAGGAATGGTACAGACAATAAATTCTCAAGGAGTTTCAAAGAAGGAACAAACATTGTGGATGGAGGAGGTCAAGATAGACTTATTAGATGTACTGGGACTTGATTTAGATAAGAAGAAATGGGAGGGCACACCAAGCATCGGGGTGAACAAAAGGGCAAAAACAGGTCTGTGCGTGCTTGAGAGAGTGTGCGTATACTGACTAAAACAGGGGTTTTTGGCCATCCCCCAGGTCTGAAAGGCACACATTCTTCACTTCTACCTTTGAGAACCTTTCTCTTCCTGAAGAGCTTAGCTCAGGTACCTTCTTCCTTCTTAGATACCATGATTGCTGCTCCCTCCCCTATCACTGCCCTTGGTGAAGGCATTCTCTAGCTCATAAAAGTTCACTTCATGGACTTTGTCTGGATCTCTCCTTTACTTCATCACACTCTGTCATGTAGTGTACTTAGCTATATAGACGTCATATCCCCCTTCAGGACAATATAAGTCCCTTGAGGGCCAATTGTCATTTTTTTAATGACTGTGGTTAACAGAGTATATTGTACCTAAATGAATGCTTAATAAATGTTCATTGTTGTTGAGTTTGTGTTGGTGTGCCATGAAATATGAGATTATGTAGGTAGGAAGGGCCCAGGTTTGGGAAGGCCTCGATTGCCAGGCCTAAAAAATTGACAGTGAAGAATCTTTGAAGATTATTAAATAGATGAATAAAATGATGAAATCTGGCAGCACGGGGAGGATGGACTTAAAAGGAAAGACCAGAAACAAGGGCACCAGTTAGGAGCAAGTAGTTGTATCAGTTCAGGTCACAGCAGACCTGATTCTAGTCCTGAATCTTCCATTTGAATCATCTTCGAGAGAGAGAACTGAAGGTCCAAGGAAATAAATAAATGGCTAGTCCAGTGTCACATAGCTACTTTGTGATGGCCCCAGGGCCAAGATCCGGCTCTTCTGACCCCAAACCCTGTGTTCCTTCTAATACATGATGCTATTTCTCAAATGCACAATGGACCCTGAAGGCTATAATTACTCTTTGCAGATGCAATCTATGGTGAAACATATGCTTAAGCAAATATAAACCCAAGTGGTTCTATCTGTAAACACTGTCCTCCCCATCCACTATAAAAATAGCTATCCATTTCAGTGACATTCTGAAGGAACAAAGCCATTTTGATGCCTCATTTTACTCATTAAAAGTGGATTCTGCCTTTAATCCTCCTGGGTCATTTTAATGTAGTTAATTTACATAAAAATGTATCTGTCCTGAACCCAAAAACCTGGAAACCTTATGGCAAGCTGGTGTATGATGGAGCTTGCCAAAGAGCTTTTAGTCTGATAGTTGCTGCCAAAGCACAGCCCTGTGGTCCATTCCTCCCTTTAGCACACAGGGCTATAGGGGTGCGGGGGAAGGGGAGAGCAGGGTGGGTGACTCCAGGAAGTGACATAAGAATGTTCCTCAGACTTGAGTAATGCCAAGTATAGGGAGCTCTAATCAGTGCTGGTTTGTTTAAGCCCCCAGACTTCCTCTCCCGAGTAGACGAGAACTCTAGTACAACAGAAATTGGGACTGTCTGATGAAAATATCTGCTTGAAAATCCAGCCCAGTCTTCACAAATCTGCATAAATTAATGGGATTGGGCCAGCCTTAGATGTAAGCAGAGTACAGTGCTATCTAAGAATTGATATTTGAGGGACACTGAGTAGATCTGTCTTTGCAAAGTATCTCCACACTCTAGCTGTGTGGTTCCCGGAGGTTTACCATTGGTCAGATCAGGTCTGAAGCTTTGTGCTTAGGTCTGGGTGGCATATTTTAATCAATAAATCAATGAAGATGCTAGAGAGATAAAGTAAAAAAAAAAAATTGAAAGTCTCTGCCCTCCAAAAGCTTACATTCTGTATTAAGAGTTTACATTCTACCTATCTTCATTCTATTTTTATCTGAGTCATGTAAAAAACAATGGAGGTCATTTCAGGTGAAGGTGCTATGGGAAATAAAAAGACTTAGGTAAAATACAGTCGTTATCCTTAAGTATTTGAAGTGTTTTTATGTGGAAGACGGAATAGATTCAAGAAATACTGAGCTCTGTCACTAGAATTGTTCAGTCTGGAGTTAGAGAAACCTGTCTAGGGGATATTATAGAAGGAATTGTTGTTTAAGGTAGGAGGTTAGACTCAGTGGCTACCAAGGTACCACGTACCTCTAAAATTGAAGGGAATATTCTCATTGCAAGCCTACTTACAGTAATCATATGCTTAGCAAGTACTTTTTGTAGATAAAATTGCATTTCAGTCTATTTCCCATCTGAATTATCACATTTAAATAACTTCTTGGCAGGGAGGTGTTAAGGGATAGATTTGTCATTTCATTAGTGTTGGGAATTCCCAGTCAGATAACTCCCTCTACCAATACAGATCTGTACGTTTTGTAGACTTAGAGGGATGCTTGGGGCACTGAGAGGTTAAGTTACTTGGTCAAGTTCACATAGCCAGTATGTGTCAGAGATGGGGCCTGAACTCAGATCTTTTTGACTCAAAGAGAAAGTTCTATATCCACTAATTCAATTTCTCAACCTACTTAGTTCCCATGACCTAATTTTCCACTTCACCTTAGCCACACACAGTAGCCATATTCTTGCTTTTGTCATCAGCCACAAATGTTCTACTTCTATGTTCATGAACTATAAAATTGCTTTATCTGATCATAATATTTTATCATTCCCTATTTCTCTGCTTCAGGACCCCTAACCCTATTGCTCATTCTCACTCTGATCTCTAATCCAGTACTTTCCCAGGCCATTACCCCTTCACTTGTTACACCCTCTTCTTTTACCAATCTCGATCCCTTGGCGAACCAGTTCAACCCTACGCTATGCTGCACTCTCAAATCCTTTTTTCCCTTGTCTTATCATCAGCCAAACTCTAGATTTCTCCCTACCATCTGCCAGCTTTGTTCCTTCTCATGAGCTGTGGATGAGCCCCACTGAAGAAAGCCACAACACTGAATTTGAGATTTGAGCTCCATTCTGGGCTCCACTCAACTGCAGAAGGTTTTTTTTTTTTTTAAGTGAGGCAATTGGGGTTAAGTGACTTGCCCAGAGTTACACAGCTAGTAAGTGTTATGTGTCTGAGGCCAGATTTGAACTCAGGTCCTCTTGACTTCGGGGCTGGTGCTCTATCCATTGTGCCACTTAGCTGCCCCAAAAGTATTTTCCTAAACACAAGTTCAAACCATATCATGGATACACACACACACACACACACACACACACACGCACGCACGCACGCACACACACGCACACACACATACTAAATAAACTCCAGTGGCTCCTTATTTCCTCTAAGCTCAAGTAAAAATTTTTTGGCATTTAAAACTCTTTATAGCCTGGTCCCTTCTTATTCTATGTGATATACAAATCTATACACACTAGCTCCCTTTCTCTTTCTTTTTCTCTGTGCTCCATCCCCTATCTCGGATCATGCCTGTTCCATGTACCTGGATTGCCCTACCTCCTTACCTCTACATCCCAGAATCCCTGACTTCCTTTTAAGATTCAAACATCGCCTTACCAGGCCTCCCCACATGGTAGTACCTTCCCCTCTGACACTGCCTTCTATCTACCTTGTATGTGTCTTGGGTGTATTTAATTGTTTACATGTTGTCTTCCCTACTGGAATGTGAGCTGCTTGAGAAACGGCCTATTTTCTCATTTCTTTTTATCCCAAGAGTTTAATACAGGCCCTGGCACAGAGTAGGCCTTTAATTAATGCATATTGATTAACTGATTAAAGGATCTAAATTAATGAGTTGTACTTAAAGCAAACATGCTTGAGATCGGCTAACACAGAATGGGAGGTGAACCATGGGACCCAGAGCAGGAAAGAAAAAGGCCAAGGAAGAGAGGATCAAAATAAATTAAAGGATTAGAACTGGAGAAAGAAAAAGAGAAGAGGAAGAGAATGAAGGAATGGAAGGAGAGAGAAAGAGAAAGGAGAAGAGGGGAGAGATTGTGAGTGTTGAAGAATAATCTAATGTTGGACCCACAGATTAAGTCAGGTGTCTGTGGGTGTGAGGGTCTACAGAATCATTATGAATATAGTGGAGGAATGTCTGCTCTCCATTCACACCCAACCTCATGTACCCCACAACTTTGGTTCTACACATAGTATAAATTCCTTTCATGCAGAGGCATTTGCTTAGATCTCATGGTTTCTCCTGGGACCAGAGCAAGATTTATAGAACCAATGTGTGTCTTCTTATGACGCTTTTAGGTGCCCAAAAGGAAGTATCCAAGCCTTTATGATTTATATGTGCCAGAGACAATCAGGTTTATTATTAGATTATAACTTCTAACACCTCACAATCTATATGTGTATTCAGTAATAATAACAATATAATAAGAATAGAAAATAGAAATAAGTTATGCATGTGTTCCAATTCTGCTTTCTTATCCTTTTTTTTTAACTGGCAGGAGGTGGCTGAACCACTTTTGGACCTGAAGGAAGGAATAGATCAATTGGAAAACAATAAAACCCTGGGCTTCATTCTGTCTACTTTGTTAGCCATTGGGAACTTCCTCAATGGTTCTAACGTAAGCATCTTATTGTCATCTCCCTGCTTTTTGGTAACAGGAACATTCATTAACAAAGGTTGTAGCTGTGATTTCTTATAATGTGGCATGTAACAAAATACTTAATTTATTATTCAGGGAAACATGGGAGAAATTTAATCCTGAGAACACATGTAACTACCAGTTTTCTAATGTAGACCTGCAGCTTTTATGTATCATCTTGGGAACAATCTGCACATATCTCCTAATGTATACTTAATACTATCAAAGGGGCATCTCTAGTGCCTTTCTCTTTTTAATTTTTTCCATGGTGCATGTTCAAAAATGTTTATGCTTATAGAAGGGCCTAGCATTTTTAATTAATTTTTTTTAAAATTGTAAATGGAAGGAGGTAAAAGAAAAGCTAATAAGATGGGAGAGAGGATAGAAAAAGAGGCTACAACAGGCCACTGGGTAGCAGGGAACCTGAGGGAGGACATCATGAGATGAAGGAGAATACTGGGGAAGAAACTGGGTCATCACAGGCATATTTAATTTGCCCTACATTAAAGACCTTTGGTGAAGGAATAATGGGGAGTTGAAAGAGTCTTTGTGCTGTAGAATGGCCATCCTTGTAATTCCTAAGAATTGGGCAGAGGAGGCCTTTAAACCAGGTACAGTTTCCTAATACAGCTCATGTTCTCTTTAGGAGATTGAGTGAAACAAAACTGGTTTAAGCTTATTCCCTTTTTCTTTTCTTGCCAAACAGGCCAAAGCGTTTGAGTTGAGCTACCTCGAGAAGGTTCCAGAGGTCAAAGACACTGTGCACAAACAGTCTCTCCTTCACCATGTGTGCACAATGGTGGTGGAAAATTTCCCAGACAGTACAGATCTATATTCCGAGATTGGGGCCATCACTAGGTCAGCCAAGGTATGTCTGTGAACAATGAAGAAAACTCTTGCCTTTGCTACAGATGTTGGAACTTAAACAGTCTTCTCCTGAACAAATACCTGAAGTGTTGCTTTCAGTCTTTCTCCTCTGGTGCCTATTTTGAATGTGACGTCCTGTCAAGTTGTTCCTAATGAACTTTAAAGGCACCTTCTTTACCTTTGCTTCTCTGTCAGACTGTTTCCCATTGAGGTCTTTAAGACAGCCATGCTACCCCCTCCTAAATTTTACTTAATACTTTGGCACAATAACCATACTCTGAGAAATTCCTAGAGTTTGATTTATTGGTAAACAGAATTAATTACCATCTCCTTGATTCAAATGCTTCCTCCATTGGGGCAGATTGTGACCATCCACGCCGGACCAGCCTGCACAGCTCTTGTCAATGTCCTTCCATAAGTTCATCGTAAGAGGAAAGGGAGAGGAGGGGGAGACATCCAATGAGTCTGAGGTCCTCCTTGATTTCTCCTGACATCAAGAAAATACTAGTAGAGTGCTCTGACTGCCCACCTATCATCCCTCACTCTTGTCATGTGACCAGCTCATCCTCTCTTTCTATCATACATTGCCCTGATGATATCTTTTACTCCTGTTCTTCTTCCAAGTTTCTCATTGGTTACTATCATAAGATTTTAGCTCTCCTTAAGCTTCACACCAAACACAGAAATTTATCTTAGGCCATAAAACTAAAAAAGAGTAGTTGTATTCTTTCACTTTCCCCCTCCCCAAGCCCCTTTAATCACATGGGAAATGAGAAAATATCAGGTTCAAGTAGTGGGGTCTGAGAGCAGCAGGCCTTTATAGAATGGAGCCATTGAAAAGAAATATGCCATGAAGGAGGAGACAGTGAGGAAGAAAGTAGGAAAGGAAGGAGGATGAAAAGAGAGACTCATTTCTCTTTTGAGCACCCAAGTCCTTCATTCTCCTATCACCTTCAGAGTTGGCTGGTGGTAATTCTTAGCTTGCTGTTGGAGATCAGTGCAGTCATGTTGTGCTGTCTGATGGTCTTTGCTATATCAGTCTGTTTAAATCAAACGAGATTACGTATGTAAAGCATTTTGCAAACCACAAAAATGCCATGTAAATGTGAGCTTCAAATCATTACACATTCTTTTAATTTATAGTTAGTGAAATTTCACTTTAGAGAAAGAAGAGATTATCTTGCTCAGTAATATGTGGAAGAATCTCTGACTACATTTAGTCCCTTCATCTCGCTGTGCAAAGTTTGAGTTTTGGTAATATTTCTTTCCAGATTTGACAGAAAAAGGTGACTCTGTTCCCTAGGTTTCACTTGGAAAATAGTTTTACAGCTGAATTGCTAGTGTCAACACACATATGAATGATTTTCAAATTATCATTCCCAGCATTAATCAGAAAATGTTGTTGTTGTTGTTGATGTTGTTGTTTTAACTTTTTGACTATTATCTTTATGGGAATTGGACTTTATAGCCCAGATGCCCATGTACAGATTTAGTGGTCATTTGTTCCAGAGAGTTTATTAATGTTTCCCTTGTTTTCAGGTTGACTTTGATCAACTTCAAGACAACTTGTGTCAGATGGAACGAAGATGCAAAGCATCCTGGGATCACCTCAAGGCAATTGCCAAACATGAAATGAAACCCGTTCTGAAGCAAAGAATGTCTGAGTTCCTGAAAGATTGTGCAGAAAGAATTATAATTCTGAAGATTGTTCACAGAAGAATAATCAATAGGTAAAAGGGTTGGGACATCAGCATATTAATACTTTGAAAATACTTTTTAAACCAGAATGTGATAAATAAGATGACTAAAATTTGTGCTGTAAATTCAAGGCAAAAAGTGCTTATTTGTCCTGGATGTTCAGTCATTTCATCAGCACAAGAGGTTTCTTCTGAGGAAAATAATCATACTATTTCATAGATTCAGAGGATCTTATTGTTGAATGGGTACCTGGAATCTTCATTGCAGACAGAATCTTGACTAGGGCTTCTCTGCTCTAGGGGTTCCATTTTCCCTGAAGAGCAGAAGGAATTTCTAACTTCTTGGCTAATATCTTAATTTGTCAGGTCTGTTACTACAACCTGCATTCTGTCTCTGGGGACAATAAAAAAGGCAGAGTTCCTAAGTCTTTCAAAGTTGTTTGTCTTTACAATATTGCTTTTATTCTGTAAATTGTTCTCCTGGTTCTGCTTACTTCATTCTGGATCATACAAGTCTTCATACAAGTCTTTAGAGGGGCCCCTGAATCTATCCCCTTCATCATTTCTTATAGCACAATAGTATTCCATTATATTTATATACTGTAATTTGTTCAGCTATTCCCTAGTTGATGGACATCCCTTACTTTCTAGACTGGTGATGAAACGTGTTACCTACCTCTTGCCAGAGAGGTGATGGGCTCAAGATGTACAATGAGACTTATATTGTTGGGCATGGCCAATAGGAGAACTTTTTTTTAACTATGCATACTTCTTACAAGTGTTTTCTTTTTCTTTCTTTTTCTTTTTTCAGGGGATGGAGATTTGGAAGGAAAAGAAAATAAATACTTGTTAATTGAAAAAAAAAACAAATTTTTAAAGATTGAAAAAAGAGCAAGGGCAGAACTGGCAGGATATTTGGTTTCATGACCCATTTCAGTCATGAATACCTTTAACAGACCACTTGTTTCTTTACTGGTGAAAGCGTTGTATAATTACAGACACAGAATTCTAGAGCAGGAATGGAGGCTTTAGAGATTATCTAGTCTAACCCCTCCTTTTACAAATGAGGAAACTGAGGCCTAGGAAGTTAAGTCATACAATGCTTAAAAGTGGTTAGTGGCAGAGCAATCTTTGCAGAGATCAGACAGTTTTGTCACGTAGACAACATGTATCACTCATATTTTTTTTCCTTAGGGGAAAAGGGCATGTTACAGGAGTATAATTTCACAGAGTATATAATTAGATAGAAACATCATACATTTAACATGGCACCATATGTTTTAAATTAGTGATTTTCTAAGCAGCAACTAAAGTGACTCAGAAGCGTCCACGTGTATATAGACAAGGCTTTCAGTATGGAGATCAAGTTTCCAGTATCACTAAAATGAACTTTAAAGGAAAGACACAGACTATATGGTTTGGATTATTTTTTTCCTTTCCATGAACAAAGCAAGCTGAGAGACAGAGACAGAAAGAGACAGACAGACACCAAGTTATGGGGCAATTATTAACTTTATCAAATACTTAATATACCTTACCTTTTAAACAGCATTTTTAGTATATGATGCTCAATTATGTGGCATTATATATGGCATCATATTGTCTTATTTTATCTCTACAACACCCTCTGAGACAATATGCAAAAGTATTATTTTCATTTTATAGATGAAGAAACTGAAGCCCAAGGTCATAGAACTAATAAGGTGTTAGAACTAAAAATTGAAGGTGCATCTTCTAACTCTTATTCCTTGACTCTTTAAAATCATGCTGTTTTCTTGACTTCATGCAAACATTCAACAGATTGGCTTCATTTCACTCCAACTACAAACAATTATTTGGTACCTACTCTCTGCCAAGTGCTATGCTAAATGCATAGGATACAAAAACACAAACAAAACAGCCCTTGCCTTCAAGGAGCTTACATTCTACTGAGAAGATAAAGCATGATTCTTTTAAGTTTTTGACTCCCCTGGAGCATTTAAAGTATTGGTAAATGCCACGCCAAAAAAACTGTTTTACAATTAACTTTTTAAGAACATATCTCTTGCTAACAGAGAGATACTCATGCATGTCTCATATATATATATATATATATATACACACACATATGTATATATATACATATACATGAAATTATTTTCAATATCCTTAAGTATAATGGTAGGTAGAACTAAGATGAAATTAAATGGTTTTTTATATACACATATCAATAATAGTTACATAGTTTTCCTTTTCCTTCTTTCTCTCAATATCTTTCTTTTCTCCATCAATCCTATCCCATGTTCTGATGACTAACAACTGGGCAGAATCCAAAGGTTCCAAAAAAAGAAGTAAGACTCTAGGTGACCAGATGTTCTGTATTAGGTAGGATGACAGTCCTGGATTTTGACTTCCTGTCCTTACTGGTACATCCATCAAAATGTCCTACATCAACATCATTTCCATCCCACAGGGCTACTGTGCCCTCTTTATTTCTCTTTCCATCCTCATTGAGAGTAGTATTTGCATGTGGAATTGAAGCTCTTTTATTTATTATACAGTTGAATCTAGTTAATTCAGACTCCAGTATTCAAAATGTCTAAATATTCAAACAAGGGAAGGGGAAGGGAAAGGGAAATAAATAAGCATTTATATAGTGTCTACTATGTGGCAGGCACTATTCTGAACACTTTGGAAATATTATCTCGTTTGATCCTCAAAAACCCTGTGAAGCATTTTCTGTTATTATCCCCATTTTACAATGGAAGAAACTAAGGCAAACAGAGATTAAATGACTTGCCCAGGGTCACACAGCTAATAAGTATTTTGGTCTAAATTTGAACTCAGATTTTTCTGACTCCAGACCCAGCGCTCTATCCACTACACCACCTAGCTGCAGATTCACCCTCAAATACTTAAGAATCACCATTTACTACAAACTGTTATGCTGATTGCAAATTATTTCTTTTTGTTAAAGTAGGTTCCTTAAAGGTCTCTACTAAGTAATAATTTTTAGCCTGTTTCCAATCACTATATAAATTGACTCTACAAATGCTTATTGAGTACCTGCTGTAAATGGAAGGCTCCATTCTGGGAATCAAAGGAGATACAGGGGTGAATATTGAGTGTCTGGTTGGAAAGGCAGATTAGAGTTAGATTGTAGAGGGATATGAGAGTATAATCAGTAAGCAAACCATCAAAGGTTTTTGATTTAGAAGGTTAATCTGGGGCAGCTAGGTGGCACAGTAGATAGAGCACCAGCCCTGGAGTCAGGAGGACCTGAGTTCAAATTCGGCCTCAGACACATAATACTTCCTAGCTGTGTGACTCTGGGCAAGTCATGTAACCCCAACTGCCTCATTTAAAAAAAAACAAAAGGGTTCATCTGACCTGATCTGCAGTGTAGGAGGCATTAAAGCGATTGGTCTGTGGAGACCAATTAGAAGGCCATTGTAGTTATTCAGATAAGAAATGATGACAGCCTAAACATAAGTCATTGTATGGATAATGGAAAGGAGAAAACAGATGTGAAAGGCAACGTAGAAAGAGAATCTATGAGGACATTGGATGTAGGGGAGAAAGAAAAGGGAAGAACATTCAATGACACAGAGATCTCCAATTTGGTGACTGGTAGAAAAGTAGTATTATTAACAGAAATAAGGGAATTAGAAGGAAAAGTCAGGTTTAGAAGAAAAGAAGATAAGTTCAGTTTTAGATGTGTTAAACCTTTCTATTAAGTATTTGGAATGAGGGTCTGAATCTCAGGAGGGGGATTAGGGCTGGTCTTAGAAGTCTTTCCTTGCCTTTTTTAGGTTAGATGCCCTAATCCTAAAATTCTAAAAACACCTGTGGGATGAATCTTCTCACGGGATGAGCACAAAAATTCCCCACATTCACATACTTTACCCTACGTTGAGATGTCTAGTCATTTTACAGAGATAAAAAATACAGGGGCTAGTTTATTCCCAAAATATTATCAATAAGCCTACACTTGGTAAACTCCAATGAAACATTCTCAAGGTTAGAAAGAAAACAGGTGGAAGCAGCAGAGGCAAGTGGAAGAGATGGTTCCTCTCTTTACAGTCTTGACCCGATAGTTGACCAGTTTAGCTCTAGGACGTTCTCTACATCTGACTCCTTTGTCTGTCTTTCCTTACCACCATTCACATCCTGTCTGTGTGGTTGCCCCCACTATCTGCTTTCTCTCTTTTTACCCCTGAGCTGCAGAAAACTAGTGGAAGAACTCAGATTCCCATGGTAACTGGATCCACTACAAATGCATGTTACCTAATCTTAAATGGACTCTCAGCAGTACGGGGCAATATTTTCATTTTTCCCTGATTAAGCCTCCTTCTTACCTTCCTCAGAAGCCGTTCCAACCTTATCTTCTCTCCTCAAAGCCCTGTTGCCTCCACTACAACCCAACTCTTTCAGCTAATGTCCTTCCTCTTATTTCACAAAATAGAGACCATCTACCATGAGTGCCCATGTTTCCTCCACCACACTCATCAGAACTCCCTACATATTCACCCATACTTTCCTCCATTTTCCTAAATAAAAATAGAAGTTTTTCCACTGAGTTCATTAAAACTATACAATCTGTACACATGATAGAGATTTTCATTGACACACACACACACACACACACACACACACACACACACACACACACA